GGTATTTTGGAGCTCAATATACATCTGAAGGATACGTATCCCTGAGATGCGGAGCACCAACCCCGCTGTCTGATTTTATACTTTCACTTTTTCTCCAGAGTCGCGCTAAGCGATACCTTGCCGCCGGCTGTCTGTTTTTATTGTCTCTGCTGTTTGTTTGTCTCTTTATAATTCTAGAAAGTCCTAAAATGGGACAACAACTAACTACCCCTTTGAGTCTGACCTTAGATCACTGGAAAGAAGTCAAGAGCCGAGCCCACAACCAATCAGTGGAAATCAAGAAGAATCGATGGATAAGCTTTTGTTCCTCTGAGTGGCCCACGTTTAATGTCGGTTGGCCTCGGGATGGGACTTTTGATTCTGATGTTATTTTGCAGGTTAAAGCTAAGATCTTCTCTCCCTCCCTATCACCCCCCTCCGCAGGCTGCTGCGGCGGTTCCAGATGACGTCCAAGCAGAGGGACCGGAGGTTGCTCCCTCTCCCATTGCGGGTCGACTCAGAGAGAGGAGAGGACAGGGAGATTCCTCACACATCCTGCCCCTCCGACTCGCAGGAGGGGAAGGAAACCAGTTTCAGTATTGGCCCTTCTCCGCTTCAGACCTGTATAACTGGAAAACTCATAACCCGTCCTTCTCCCAAGACCCTGTGGCCCTAACTAACCTCCTAGAGTCTATTCTTCTAACCCACCAGCCCACCTGGGATGATTGCCAGCAGCTTCTCCAAGTTCTCCTTACGACAGAAGAAAAACAGAGGGTTATTCTGGAAATCATGACAGAAGAAAAACAGAGGGTTATTCTGGAAGCCCGCAAGCAGGTTCCCTGGGTGGATGGGAGACCTACCCAGCTGCCCAACGAGATAGAAGCTGCCTTTCCCTTGACCAGACAAGATTGGGACTTCAATACACCTGAAGGTAGGGGACACCTACGCTTTTATCGCCAGTTGCTCACAGCGGGCCTCTGAGCAGTGGGGCGACGCCCCACCAATTTGGCCAAGGTAAGATCGGTAGTACAAGGGCAAGATGAGGCGCCGACAGTATTCTTAGAGAGACTAAAGAAAGCATATCGGAGGTTTACTCTCTTTGATCCAGACAGCCCTGAGCAGGAAGTGAGTGTCTCTATGTCTTTCATTTGGCAGTCAGCCCCTGACATTAAGGTGAAACTCCAAAGAATAGAGAATCTGCAGGGACAGAGGTTACAAGATCTACTCAGTGAAGCAGAGAGAATTTTCAATAAGAGAAAAACCCCTGAGGAAAAGGAAGAGTTTGACCTGTACGTGGATAAAAAGCTGGGGTACGCAAAGGGGGTCCTGACTCAAAAACTGGGGCCGTGGAGATGCCCTGTGGCTTATTTGTCAAAGAAACTAGACCCAGTGGCTGCCGGCTGGCCCCCTTGTCTGAGAATGGTGGCAGCCCTGGCAGTCCTGGTCAAAGATGCCTTTAAATTAACTTTGGGTCAGCCTCTTTGCGTTCGGGCCCCCCATGCTCTTGAGTCTCTCATCAGACAGCCCCCGGATCGGTGGCTCTCGAATGCCCGGATGACTCATTACCAGGCTCTGCTCTTGGACTCTGACCGCATCCAGTTTGGATCCCCCGTCGCTCTCAATCCTGCGACCCTGCTACCCAGCACAGAAGAACCCGACTCGCAGGGCGACCATGACTGTCATCGGGTCCTGGCTGAGGTTTTCGGCACCCGACCAGACCTGAGCGATAAGCCACTGGAGAAGGCAGATCACACTTGGTATACAGACGGGAGCAGCTTCCTTGAAGGGGGACAACGCCGGGCTGGAGCCGCAGTCACCTCAGACAGCAAGGTAATATGGGCCGAGCCCTTACCAGAAGGAACGTCCGCATAGAAGGCCGAGCTGATAGCTCTGACACAGGCCCTGCGGCTGGCAGAAGGTAAGAAGCTAAATGTGTACACGGACAGCCGGTACGCCTTCGCCACCGCACACATCCACGGAGAAATTTACAAAAGAAGGGGGCTTCTCACATCAGGAGGGAAGGAAATAAAGAACAAAGCAGAAATCCTGGCACTACTAGAGGCTTTGTTTTTACCAAAAGAGCTCAGCATAATGCACTGTCCAGGCCACCAGAAAGGAAATCACCCAGAGGCAAGGGGAAACCGCCTAGCCGACCAGACGGCCAAGGACATTGCCTCCAAGAGTCAGGTTCTGACTATGCAAATGGACCCTGAACGCCAGAGACGGGAAGCCATCAGAGACTACACCCCAGAGGACAGAGAGTTACTCGAGAAAATTGGGGCTTTCAACAACCCAGAGACTGGCTACTGGGAGTACCAAGGAAAAACCGTCTTGCCTCAGCGATCGGTGGAAGAGCTCCTGGACGAGCTCCACAAATGGACCCACTTGGGAGTGAACAAGATGAGAAAACTGATTGAGAGGGAAGAAACAATCCTCTATCTGCTAAACAAAGATGCCATCCTACAAAGAATTGTTAAGAACTGTAAGGCCTGTGCCCAGGTAAACTGGGGCAAAAATAAAGCTTCAGGAGGAGTCAGACAAAGAGGCCACAGGCCAGGAGTCCACTGGGAAGTGGACTTTACTGAGGTTAAACCAGGAATGTATGGCTATAAATATTTGTTAGTTTTCATTGACACTTTTTCAGGATGGCCAGAAGCCTACCCGACCAAGCAAGAAACTGCAAGGGTGGTATCCAAGAAGCTATTAGATGACATCTTTCCCCGATTTGGGATGCCACAGGTAATAGGGTCAGATAACGGACCAGCCTTTGTCTCCCAGGTAAGTCAGAAGGTGGCCAGGTTACTGGGGATTGATTGGAAGTTACATTGTGCCTACCGGCCCCAGAGTTCAGGTCAGGTAGAGCGAATGAATAGAACCATTAAGGAGGCTCTAACTAAATTCTCGCTGGCAACTGGCACTAAAGACTGGGTTACTCTGCTGCCTTTGGCATTATACCGGGCCAGGAACACTCCTGGGCCCAGTGGGTTAACTCCATTTGAAATCCTGTATGGGACCCCTCCCCCTGCAGTTTCCTACTTAGACCCGGATATCTCTAATTTTGTTTTTACCAAAAGAGCTCAGCATAATGCACTGTCCAGGCCACCAGAAAGGAAATCACCCAGAGGCAAGGGGAAACCGCCTAGCCGACCAGACGGCCAAGGACATTGCCTCCAAGAGTCAGGTTCTGACTATGCAAATGGACCCTGAACGCCAGAGACGGGAAGCCATCAGAGACTACACCCCAGAGGACAGAGAGTTACTCGAGAAAATTGGGGCTTTCAACAACCCAGAGACTGGCTACTGGGAGTACCAAGGAAAAACCGTCTTGCCTCAGCGATCGGTGGAAGAGCTCCTGGACGAGCTCCACAAATGGACCCACTTGGGAGTGAACAAGATGAGAAAACTGATTGAGAGGGAAGAAACAATCCTCTATCTGCTAAACAAAGATGCCATCCTACAAAGAATTGTTAAGAACTGTAAGGCCTGTGCCCAGGTAAACTGGGGCAAAAATAAAGCTTCAGGAGGAGTCAGACAAAGAGGCCACAGGCCAGGAGTCCACTGGGAAGTGGACTTTACTGAGGTTAAACCAGGAATGTATGGCTATAAATATTTGTTAGTTTTCATTGACACTTTTTCAGGATGGCCAGAAGCCTACCCGACCAAGCAAGAAACTGCAAGGGTGGTATCCAAGAAGCTATTAGATGACATCTTTCCCCGATTTGGGATGCCACAGGTAATAGGGTCAGATAACGGACCAGCCTTTGTCTCCCAGGTAAGTCAGAAGGTGGCCAGGTTACTGGGGATTGATTGGAAGTTACATTGTGCCTACCGGCCCCAGAGCTCAGGTCAGGTAGAGCGAATGAATAGAACCATTAAGGAGGCTCTAACTAAATTCTCGCTGGCAACTGGCACTAAAGACTGGGTTACTCTGCTGCCTTTGGCATTATACCGGGCCAGGAACACTCCTGGGCCCAGTGGGTTAACTCCGTTTGAAATCCTGTATGGGACCCCTCCCCCTGCAGTTTCCTTCTTAGACCCGGATATCTCTAACTTTGTTGATTCACCTTCCCTCTTTGCTCACCTGAAGGCACTCCAGCTGGCTCACCAGGAGATCTGGAAGCCCCTAGCTGCAGCCTATCAGGATGCTATTGACACTCCTATTGCACCCCACCCCTTCCAGCCCGGGGACGCTGTCTGGGTCCGGAGGCATCAGACTCGGAGCCTAGAACCACGCTGGAAAGGACCATACACTGTCCTCCTCACCACGCCCACAGCTCTCAAGGTCGACGGGGTTGCAGCCTGGGTCCACGCCTCCCACGTTAAGGCAGCCGATCCAGCTCACCAAGAACTCTCAAGAGAAGGGCAATGGCAGCTGACGCGGACTACCAACCCCCTAAAGATAAGACTGGTCAAAGAAAAATGCTAATCATGTTGCTCTGGGTATTATCTTTCCCCAGAATAGAGTCTGGGGAAAATCCACATACCCCATACCATATTACCTGGACCCTCAGTAATTCTTATGGAGAAGTCCTCAATCAGACTGAATTAATTGGCCCCGTTAGCACCACCTTTCCTTCACTCTCCTTTGACGCCTGTAAGGGAGTGCCATCCTGTATTTGGGACAGTTTGGTAGACAAGGGGACCATTTATTTATGTCCAGGGCATCAACCTGACAACAAAATGCGCTATTCTTGTGGGGGAATGCAATATGGATGGTGTTATTACTGGAATTGTGCAACTGCAGGTAGTACATATTGAAAGCCATCTTCTAGCTGGGATTACATCCGAGTAAAAAGAGATCCCAGCATAGATAAATATAAGGTTGGCAGTGTGGGGAAGCCCCTCCCTCATGTGCTTGAATTCACTGAACAAGGAAAGTCCCATGACTGGAACCGCCCCTGCAGCTGGGGACTGTTCGTATACAGAAAATATGGGGACGATCCATGGGGAGTAATTACACTCAGTCGCTCGGTGCAACCCTTGGCCCCCTCGGCAGTGGGTCCCAATCCAGTTCTAACTAGGGACCTTCCACTTCCTCCCCCTGCACCTCCCATACCAGCCAACCCAGTCCTCAGTAACCAGCGACCAGCTTCCCCTCCGTCATCTGCTTTGGTGCCCCCTGCACCTCGCAATTCTGGGGATGGAACTCAGGATCTCCAGGGCCCTGCACCTCCAATATGTGCAGCCCTGAAGGAGGAATGCTGTTTCTATACAGACCAGACAGGAGTGGTAACTCAAGACTCTAGATAAACTAAAAGAAAGACTACAGGAAAGAAAACATAACTTTGAATCCCAAAGAAGTTGGTTTGAAAAACTATATGATCAATCCCCTTGGTTTACCACGTTATTATCTTCCCTAGCAGGCCCACTTGTTCTTTTACTTTTAATCCTAACCCTGGGACCTTGTGTACTTAATCGACTGGTCCAATTTGTGAAGGAACAGCTGTCCGTAGTGCAGGCGTTAGTCCTCACCAGCCAGTACCAGGCACTGAGGACCCAAGACCCAGACATGTTATAATGAGTGAAAGATTCCACTCATATGCCCATAGAAAAAGAGGGGAATGAGAAAATAAAAAAAGGAAACTAGGCGCCATGAGTGCTCAGGGGCCCACAGCCCACTTGTTAAAACTTAACAAAAACCAGAACCAGCCTTATCAAAAGGCTGCAGGACAGGCAGGCGTCGGTCAAGCCTCACAGATGAAGCCATAAACAAGACAGAACTCCTGACCACCCTGGGGGCCCGATACCAGGAAATCTTCTGTGCTTCTGAGGCCACCTCCCATTTAGCAATCCTACTTCCCCTCAGCCCCGGCCCTTACCCCATATCTCTGCATACCTTTGAAATTACTGATGAAATTACTATATGTGTTTGAAATTAACCAATAACCGCACTTCTGCTTCTGTACCCTGCTTCTGCCTTATAAAAAACCCCTGAACTCAACCTGGGGCGCGCAAGTCCTCCGAGGAGACTTTGTGCCCACAGGTACCTGTGTCCTAAATAAACCTCTTGCTGTTGCAACCCAAAGGCTGACTTGTCCTCCGTGGTCTCACTCTTACACTTCTACAATATAAACTTAATTTTTCAACTTGATAATTTTATACATTGTTTTGTCTGTAGTGTTTTGTTTGCTACTCTGATCTATTAAAATTTCTAAGGTTCTTTGTTCTTTTGCCTCGGAAGCCACACCTTCCTCCATGGTAAACCAAAGGGTCTATTGGAGGAGTGGATGCATACAGAGATGAAGCTTTGAAAAAGTAAGAGACAAAATTTTCTCCTAAGATTTCTGAAGTGAGTAGGACTAAACTACAGTTTGTGGCAGATGGAAAGTGGGAGAAGGAAAAATCATTACGTAGGGCTATGTTTGGCATCCTGGATAGTTGGACCCTAGGCACTAGGCCTACAATTCACTTCAGAGCATAACATTTAATTGCATGCCATTTAACACTAGCTAATAGATAGCAGTAATGTATTTTAAAATACTTCCTCCCAGAGAGCATAATATGCATGAGCATGGTAAAGTGAGGCGCTACATGGGGTCAGTTATTTCACTCACAAGGTAATAGGTCAAAACCCTGTAGAATGCAAGATTTCTAGCAAGCTGTTGGAAAGTATACTCCTGCCAATGCAATGACAAGTGTTTTCATTAGCTGTGATTAACACCAAATGTTTGTCTAATTGTGTTATTGAATTTTCAAAGACAATTTTTCTTTATGGTGAAATTAGTACCCTACTTACCAGCATAGTTATAGCTGAATCTTCTTTGGGTAAGATCAACACTCAGCATATAGAGACTGCCTAAAATACTTAAAAAAATACCCACTCTGACTAACCGAATATGAGACTCTAGTTAATCTAGTCAGTAGCTATGGGAAGGGAGACCAAAGCCCAGCTGCTGAACACTTTCATATACAAGCACTAAACTGGAGAATTGTGAGTCAGGAATAACTAGATACTGCCCCTAAAATATTGGAGCTAGTCTTTAGTGATATTTTGTTTGAGGTGAGATTGGATTACTTACAAAGATTGAGAGATGCCACTTCATCAAAATATACAGAACATTTAAGAACTGTTTATTTTTCTAATTGGTAAATTTTAATACATGTATAAGAATGGAAAAACTCATCAAAGACTTGCTGTTTTAACTTTACATGTTTATTTTGATGGAAATTGTTATGTTAGATAAAACAGCATGAAAGAAAAATATAGAGTAAAATAATTACACTGAATAAGACTTGCTTTTATTATGACTCATTACTGAATTTATGGGACTGCTGGTAGTTCTCAGTTATACTAAATTTTCTCAGTTATACTAGAGATTTTATGGTTAGCATTCATTCATCCACGGTAAGTGGCTGGCTTAGATCAGCTTACAGCAACTGGTTAAACAATTTTCTCTGTCCATTAATTTTCAGTTCTCGAGAATGCTAACTTGACAGACTCAGAGTGACTGGGATGAAGAACTTTTTTAAAGTTCAGTGGATATAGTTTGAATTAGGTGTACACATCTAATAGCAATTCATTAAAATGAATCACTTAACTGTTGGCCTATTGTTATAGTCCCTGGGGATTGAATAGCCCTTAGGACTTTCTCTCTCTCTCTCTCTCTCTCTCTCTCTCTCTCTCTCTCTCTTTCTCTCTCTGTTAGGAGGCTAGAGAGATGATCAGGATGATCTTCCTCAGAGGTTCTCTGTTATTTTTTTCTTTTTCTTTATTTCACAGTCTCTCACTGGCCTGGAACTTGCCAAGGAGGCTGCTATAACTAGCCAGTATGTGTTGAAGATCTGCCTGTCTCTGTGTCTCCTGCACAGAGATTACAAGAGTGCTCTATCACACCTGAATTGTTTATATGGATTCTATGGATGAAACCCAGTTCTTCATGCTTTACCAATGGGTCTATCTCCTCATGTGTGATTGTTTATCTGAATGACAGTCATAAGTTTCAGATGGCAGCATCATACGTTTTGTACACTGTTAGCAGTTTTACAAATTTGATACCATCACTTAAATGCAGACGAGTCACTGAGGTTTGTGTCCCTGGGATACAGGGTATTGATCAGTCAATAGTGCAGGTTCCTGTAACTCTGGTGCTGGAAAGAACCTCTTTGACCACTAGCTAAGGAAGAATCCAGGGAAAGAAAAAGTAAGTATGTAGTGGTACATATGTAAACATGAGGTAAGACATAACATCTCCACCCCTTTGGAGGGCTGTGAGGGGCAGGTATGATAGAATTCTCACACTTCTCCAAAGCTCACATGCTCCTTGACTACATTTCCTTTTAATTATTTCCACATGAAATTAGGTGGTGCTGTGAAGGAGGGATTTTACGGCTGCAATTAAGGCTCAAAATTGTTGATCTTAAAGTAAATGGTAAGGAAGGATCTATTCAAAACTCATGCTGGGAGGATGTAAATTAACTATATCTTACATCAACGCAGACATCAAAGGTTTTCTGGTGATAAAAATAATCAAGAAATTCTGGAAATTGCCTCAATATTAAACACTAGATTAGTATTAACAACTACTTTTACTCATTGATCTAATATATTTCTTTGATTTTTAGAACCAAATAAAAGCTAATAAAAATACTATGAATTTATTAAAATATGTGATTTAATTTTTACTACTGAAACAGTTATAGAAAGACAGTTATTTGTTCAGTAATTATTTGGTTAAAATGGCAAAATAATTGGGAAAGTCTAATCCTAGTTTTAATGTGATTGTGAGCTACCTAAATAATTATTTGCAAGATTACCATACTTCTAACTGTAAGAGAAAAATCCCACAATTCTCTACTGTCTCCTCATGTGTGTATATTATGCGTATGTGCGCCTATGTGTGTGTAGGTGCATGTGAATGAAGGCCAGTGATTGGCATCAGGTGTCTTTCTCAATCACCCTCCACCTATCATCTATTTATCATCTATCTATCTATCTATCTATCTATCTATCTATCTATCTATCATCTATCTATCTATCTATCTATCTATCTAATCTATCTTCTATCTATCATCTATCAATCTATCATCTATCATCTATCTATCATCTATCAATCTATCATCTATCTATCATCTATCTATCTATCATCTATCTATCATTTATCTATCTGTTCAGTCAGATTTTTTCACTGAACCTGGAACTTGAGATCTTATTGAAAAGTCTGGCTGGCTGTCAAGCCTCAGTGATCCTCCCGTCTTTTTCTCCTCCACACTGAGATTATAGGTACATGGGACTACACTCTTTCCAACTGAATCATCTCCGCATCCTGTCCACTCATGTTTCTAAATATTCTACAAGCAAGTCAACAACTACCTATTGTTCCCCAGACTATCTTTTGAAAGATGTCTGTAAATTAACTGTCTTGAAGAATATATTGTCTCCATCTGGAACAATGGGTCAATTTGCTTACCATTGAGGGTAATAAAGATAAATTATTCTTCCAGTATAAAGGTCAGGTTTGCTTTTCTCCATTGTAAAAGAGTCAGGTTTGTGTGTAGTCTCAGTTGTGCAAATATATTGCATAAGTGGCACCTACATGAGTAAATATGCATCATGCCATGTAACTGGGGAAGCACAGAAACCAATCAGACATTCTGCACACATGCTGCTCTCAAAAACATGAGGAATAACATCTATATCTCAGAGTCTTATTTCTTCTGCTTATGTCAGTGAAGATGTGGCAGAATAAATGGTTAGTTGCAATTACGTTAAAACCTCATATCATTCAAATTTTCTGAGACTGATTAACTTACAAACACAATTAATGTATAGTATATCTTATATGTTTTGTTGTTTATGAAACAAAAAATTTTTGTAAGTA